CGAATACAGTCGCTGGTTTATTTATGTCTTTAGGACGTTGTTGTGAGTTTGGACGGAGCAGATACAGGTTAGACCTCCATTAAGAAAACACGCATTTTAAAAGGTTTTCGCCTGCTGTCTTGTAAGCACACTTGTCGAAGCATTAATTCATGGTTTTTACTAACCGGTATCAGCATGTAGTTATTTCGGAATAATTTTAAAACGTGTTTTACAAATGAATAATGCTCAAATATGTTGAAAGCTGAAAACCCCCTAAACTCATCTTTCAAATTCTCAGTTAGCTGGATTATGACTGTGATTTTTTAAACTTGGTACTTTCATGAAATAATTTCCAGACATAACTGCTAATTTCCTCAGAGGAGCCAACACATAGAAATGTCATTATGAATAGACAAGCTTTTAGAGGGAAATATTACAATATTTTGGTGTTTGAAAGATACATATTAATTAAAATCAAGCATTCTTGTCATTTTAATCCTTTATCACAGGAAAACACTAACAGACAACAACATTGAGATTCGTAAATCAATCCAGGACCTGGTGAGTCATGAATTTGTATAATATCTACATATATGTTTTTTTTAGACTTTTTTGGAAGTTTCTTGTGCATTGTATCTATTCTGTCGACAGGCAGGCAGTACACTATATTATGCTTAAAATAGAGTGGAAAAAAACATCCGATACTCAGTCTTGTATTGTCAGACCCCTCTCCTGCAGCAGAGGTCATTATCAATATCTTGAAATATTTATGATACTTAAACGTGGACAATGCCAAGCTATTGGATTGGGTGTGATCTTGCATACTCACTTTGTAATATTCCTTTTAGTCTGGAGACAGTATTGGAGATACTGTTTTTTTTGCAAAATGTGTGCACATTACATATAAAGTGTTTTGGACCTAATATGTGGAAGCTTCCTTTTAAGCCAAATGACAGTGTTGAGGTCTGGAGCCCCATAAGTGGACTATCATCACAAAGTCTATCAGGAACTACAGAAGAAGTAGATGTAAGTGTCAGCCTATATGTTTCTGTGTTTTATACATATTTTGACTGCATGTAAATATGTCATAAGTTATTCAGGATGTTGATATTGTTTTCATAGAACCTGAATCATAATTCCTCCGACCACGACTTGGATAATGGCTCTGAAGATGCACATGATGTCAGCCACACAGCCGTAAGTATAGTGTCCTTTTTTTTTTAAATTGCACATTTTATGTGTAAGGTTTTAAGATTATTTTAAGAACTAACCAAACTACATCTTGGTAACATTGGTCACATGCAGGTTGTTTTGTAGATTATGTAATGGATGATTTTGTATCTGTTTTTTAGATAACTGATGAAGATTCTGAAGCCTGGCCTTCTCTCAGTGGGCAACAAAGTCTGTCAGGAGCAGAAGTCTCTGTAAGTTTCAGCTTTGTGGTGTGTTGCTGAACCATGTATTCTTTAGCAACGCTATAAAGTATAGCAAGAACCTGGCCTGATTTTGCACTTAGAGAGTAAGAAAATACCGGTTAGAACTTAAAGTTGCGATGAGGTCTTAAAATGTATGGAAAGGGTCTTAAAAAAGGTCTTAAAAGGTATTAAATTTGACTTCAGGATTCCTGCATATACCCTGGACTTATCTGACCGGCCCACTTCTGTACCGGCCCATCGGGATTCGTCCCGATGGCCAGTCCGGCGCCACTGCACCCAGCCCAGCCCACGTAAACTGTCAACGGGGGGAGCCTCGCTGCGGGGAAACGGTGGACCTAGTGTCCCGATCGGAGTGGGAATAATAATAATAATAATAATAATAATAATTTGTGCATTTTATCCATTAATTTCCCCAACATTGGGGTAAAAAAAAAAAAACGTTTAATCCATGTTGGTGTTGTACTACCCCTCCACACCGCGTGGGGTGCCGTCTGGGTGTGTGTGTTTGTGTTTAAAGCTTCCATTGCCTGACAAGCTGCACCTGTGTGACGAGCTGCTAAGCCTTGATGAGCTACACTTGGCCGGAAGCCTTCAAGAAAGAGCCCAGCCGGATACGTCGCTCTCGGACTCCTCTGGGCACTCTTTTCATGCCAGCCTCAGGGACCTGTGGCTGGTTCTGTCATTACATTGTTTATTTGAGAATAAACAATTGTTATTTTCTTACCCTTCGTCTCGCCTCCCTGCTTTTTGTTGCAGCCCAGGAGCCGGGTTGTAACAGATGGGGGCTCGTTGTTTTGGACCTGGGAAGCGTGTGCAACTGGATGTCCGTTGTGGGGACGGATTTCGCGCAGCTGCTGTTGTCGCTGGGTGCGGCTGGTTGTGTGGGAGTAGCGTTGCGGGGGTGAGAGTTTTTGCAGTTCTGGTGAACGGGGATTGTGTGGCAGCGAGTACGAGCACAGATCGTTAGTTACCGTGGTATCTCGTCCCTGTTAGGTCTAGTACGGTCTCCCTTGGAGGTCGTAGGGGGGCTGTTAGTGCGGTGTGAAAGTGGTTAGAGCTATTAGCTCGGGAGCACGCCGAGGCTG